TTTCATGGAAAGCAAGACAAATGAACAAGTTTAAAGATGATAGGCTACCAATATCTCCATATGCCCAAAAATTGACACGCGCCTGCCTGATTCTACCACGTCGTGACACATATAGTGTATTATATCATATATGTCTGTATTTATACATTTATATATAATATATGTAAGCAGCATCCTGTGTTAGCTGCACAGTACCCTGCTTGAAGCACATCTATTAAGCACAACGAATGTAAATGACTGTTAGCATGACTGAGAAGAGAAAAAATTATCAGTGAACCCAGTGTTGCAGAGATAATACTTGACATAACAGTCAGGCAGATGAAGTTGTTGTAGTAATCTTTTCTCAAATATGTACAAAGGAATCAACAATCCAATTTCATGTTTTATGTGTACACCGATGTAGTCTCAGTTCTGGGCAGCATATCCAAAGGTGTGTTTGCTTGTTGTACAGGACCTGTGCGTGTATTCCTGTTGGTCTCACTGTGAAGAAATCCATACTGCTGAGCCTGCCATATATCATCTTGTACAAAATTCCATATCACTGCAATAACAAAGAGTGTCCTCACTTTGTACACTTACTTGTACCTCATGAAAAAGCACAAGTATAATTTGTTCTCCTTACATTTTCATTTCTCTACTCTCTTTAGGTTTACACTTCACCATGTGGTTTATTTTATCCTTTTGAAAGTGTTACAAAATGTCAGGGGGGAATCATTTTGATGTAATCTTTTTTGCTGACAAAATTTCACCCAAGGAAGCATAGCCTGTGGTAATAAACTTTTGTTTAGGAGCCGATACAATCTAAAGATCTGATCAGGAGATACTTTTTTTTTTTCCTCTTCAATACATGAACAAAATATTTATGTGTGGATACAGGTCTAATTTACCCTTGTATTCATATTTATAATTATATTTTTTATTGGAAACTGCTAATTTATGAACTGTTATTTCTTTCTATCTTGTATAAACTGTATATATATTTTATTACTGTTCATATTGTGTGGTCCCTGCTTCAAACTTAAGCTGCAGATGTTATTGCCTTGTGTACTTAGATCCTGCAGGACTGTTGCAATCCAAATAAAGAATCCGCCACTTTGAATAAATATCTCTACTCTGGATTTGTTGGTTGAGATTTTTTTGTTATGACGTTTTTATAGCTTTTCTTTTAAATTCTACTTATTAAATAAGCCATACAAAGATGGCAGAAAGCTATCGGTAGGATGTCCTACCTACATCTTTCATGTCGACTCTGCTCATTCTTTTCTGATGTCTTCCTTTTTGTTTCTCTGCAGTTCATGGCCATCTTTAGAACTTTATACAGGTGAAAACCCCAGAAACTGCAGTCTGGGGCCTGAATTCAAAATGACGCGTTTGTGTGTACTGCAGTGTAAATTAGTTTTTGTTTTTAAAAATAATCCAATACATTTGATCATTTTATGATGACACAAAATAGTTGGAAGTAAATTGTCATTCGGTATCTGCAAATAAATTGTCTCTGTCCTCTGCAAATTTTTTTGCGAAGTCTATGACTCGTACCCAAATTATCCATTCCAGAGATATTCCAACTTACCGTACTACGTTTTCCATATATGTATATGAAAATCTTAATTTAAGTGCAGTCTTGTGATGGATGGTTGGCGGATGCCCTGGTGTGGTTTGCTCATTCTTTCCTATCAATCTATCATCCCTACCTCTCCTCTTTTCCTGTGCGTGTTACTCTCCTGTAACACTTTTAGTCTTTGGCACTTTATGACCTAATAGTGTTAGTCAACAGACATAATTATTTTGGGATCTTTAGTTTTAGTAAGTGTTTTAGGGCACTTGCAACACAATAAGGTCATGTAAGTGTCGAAGATTAGAGGTTTTAATGTTACAAGAGAGTAACAAACATAAAAAAGAAGGAGGAGAGAAGGACGATATATATGTTCGATAGGAAAGAAGAAGCAAACCGCACCAGAGCACCCGCCAACTACCCACGTTTTGGAGTTTGGGTCCAAGGTCTGACTGTAAATAAGAAGCTACAGTCTAACCTGCCAAGAGAGACACCTGTACAAACAGCAACTTTCTATTTTCCTCCCTTGCGTGTTTTCTATATATAAAATGATACTACATAAAATGATAACCCTGTCCAAAACACTGCGGCAACATTTTATCTGCCCTGTGGTTTTATGCACCCCGCATAATTTAGCAAAATTTGATCATTTTTTGCATAATTTCTTATTATTTTCCTTTATCATTCTTTTTTAAAATTAACAAAATCGCATAATTTCACATTTTTGGGCTCAGTCTGCATAATTTCAGAATTTTTTTTTGTGCATAAAACCACTGGGACAGTTTCATCAACCAACAACCAAAAAAACCCTTAGATGACCACACAAATCTCTCATAGCGCAAATCGTTGCTATAAATAATTTATCTGCCCCTGATGCTGTGGACAAGCCATCATAATCCATTCACCTGTTATTATAGTTAGCCTGAATAATCGCTGATGGCACATTGTGAAAGTAGGTTTCAGGTCCCTCTCACTGTTTACACAAGTTGACTAGTTGGTAAGATTTTTTTTTAAAATGGGTCTTGTCTTTCGGAAGTCCTAAACCTTCAACTGCCTCCAGTCGGGACCTCAGAAGGCAACGATTTGTTTTCTTCATTTAAATCAGTCCTGACTACGACAGTAATTTTCTCCTTGATAGCGGATGACTGTCTTAGAAAGTTTCGACTGTAGATTCCACTGGAAATTATAAATTTGCTGAAAGTCTGAAACTGAAAATGGCCATTTTGCACTTGAAAAGCTTATTTTTACAATTTCAAGTGAATGCCAAATCTCTCTCTCTTGCCCTTTTTAACTCCTAATGGAGCACAGGCCATCAACAGCATTACTCCAGCGAAGCCTGTCCTGAGCATCCTTTTCTATGTTTCCATGATGTCCCCGCTTTTTCAATTTCAGCTAGTACCGCTCGTCTCCATGTCATCTTTCGTCTTCCCTTCTTTCGTTTTCCTTGTGGGTTCCACGTTAAAGCCTGCCTGATGATGCTTGATGGGGGTCTCCTCAGGGTGGTTCCAATCCATTTCCATTTCTTCACCTGTATGTCTTCCTTTATTGGCCTTTGGCTTGTTCTCTCCCACAGTTGAGCATTAGTGACTCGATCGTACCACTTGATCCCCACTATCCTTCGTAGGCATCCATTTACGAAGCTCTGCAGTTTGAATGCCAAATACACCCCACAAAAATATGAAAAGCTTCATTTTCTCTCAAACTTTTCAAAAAGTCAAAGCCCTATTCTTTTTCTCAACCAGTTACAGTGGGCCCCACTTATAATAGTCGGGGTTTTAAAGGGATTCCCAGTCGTAGCAGGCTTATAATGATTCTATGAGTTCGATCTTCATTAATTTTAATGTATTATGCAAAAAAGTTCTTTTTTAGGAGACATTTGGACAGACATGCTCCATGTGGTCCAACCATAGAGAAAATCTTAAACGGAGAAGACAGCAGAAAAAAACAACAAATGAAGCACACAACATCTATCAACATAGCGAGGTGCAGGTGCTTGACCCATAGTAGGCCCAAGTTGTTTGTGATCATGTGTGCAGGAGAGGGAGAAGCTGAATGCACTCTAATGTTGATACAGACTTAGCATGACCTTGGTCTAGCTCACCATCACATCACATCGTCTCTTCGTGGGGTGGCAAAAGTTGTAATGTAATGGAATAAATGATTAAATGAAAAGTGAGCACTGGGTGAGCACTACATCTACCGCAGATCCAAGTTGTCATGGCTGTGTTTCTGTTCCTAACCGGTAACTATTCACTTACAGTACAGTAGATCTAGTAGTGAGGCACAAAATCATGCTGTAGACTAGAGCATGAATCATCATCATCATCATTCATCCAGTGCCAGATCTGCGACAGACATCGGAGATCATGGTTCTCCATTCATTCCTTTCCTCGGATGCTCTCAAAAAAGCTACGTATCCCTGATCTTTCCCTGTTACCCATTTGTTTAGGTTCCCTAAGTATGTTATTCAGGGCCTTCCCCTGTCTCGCTTGCCCTCAATTTTGCCAGTGAGAGCTAGATGTTCAAGACCCTTTTGTCTATTTCGTGTCCCAAAAACTGCATTTGTCGTTTCCTGATTGTTTTTAACATTGAGCGTCCCACGTGGGCTTCATCAAGCACTACCTCATTTGATTTCTTTTCCTTCCACGATACTCTCAGCAGTCTCCTAAGAAACCACATTTCTGTTGCTTCTATTTCATTTTCACTGTCTTTAGTGATTGTCCAGCATTCACAGCCATGTAGAAGGGTTGACCAAACATAGCATTTCAGAGCTTTCATTTTGGTGTTCATTGAGATGTTTCTATTTTTCAGGATTGGGCTCATTTTATTAAAACTAGCCTTAGCCATTGTAATTCTCCGTCTAATTTCTGTGGAACATTTGGCATCAGATGTTATCATATATCCTAGATTAGATATATTTAAACTGTTGGACTAGTTCGATCTTTTCACCTTCGCTGAGGAGATTACAACTAGGCTTTGCTGCTTTTTTGGATATTACGCATGAATACATGTTTTATGCAATTATATTTTTATTACCGTACCTATACATTGTACAATCAAGCTCCATGAGACTATGATACAAGAAAAAGGAACATAAAGATGAAGAGAAAAAAAGTATCACTGGAAAAAAAAGGGGCGATAACTGGTAAATCGGTAGTAGTAGTTTGTGTGAAAACAAAACGATCCTATTGGTTTACAGATCTAGTTACAGTGTGTGTAAACTTGATCCTGCTAAAACAGGGATATCACATTCATCCCGGCAATCCTGTTATAACCGGGGTCCGCTGTATTAGGGGTGTTTCCCCCCCACAATAAGCAAAGCCTATATAATATTCTGCCTTACCACAAATAGAAATTAATCGTTAGTATTGCAGCTGATAAGAATTCTAATGTTTACTTTTATTTTAAAAGTGTTTTGTAAACTGAATATATAACAAGGAACAGAATATGAGCTTTAATAATATGCAGTTTATTCCCAACCAAGAATACTGAAAGTGAAAGTGAAAGTGAAAGTTTCCAGTTAAACAGCCTGAAACTGGAACCACATTTCCAAAATCAACTCAAAACAAAAGAATATATTCATGCAGTTATTTATGCTACCCTAAAGAATAAAATAGTTCTTTGATTTTGATAAAATCCCAACTCCTGAAAACAACAGATGCATGCACTTCATTGTACAATATGACAAAAGCGTACGGTCAAAACTATCCATTGTACAAAACCACATTGTTGCTTAGGTCATGTAACAAAAATTTGATATAGGGGTACCTAAATACACACTAAAAACAGATAGTGGATATTTATCTTCTCTGTATTGAAGTCCAAGATTTTGAAAAGAAAAAAAATTGCTTAATTAAACTAAATTAAATACTGAGAGCCCCACTTTTCTGGAGCCTGAACACAAAGAACTCACTGCAGATAATAAATTTGGCACTACTTTCAAAGGACAGACAGGTAGACTACAGATTACTATCACAGAGAATGGGCTTTGTTGGGTCGTAACTCCGCTCTATGAGCAAAGCTAGCAAAATAACATCCATCACACTTTCGCAACTACTGATCAGATACTTCTTCCCTTCATACACTAACAGCAAAAGCAAACTCTGGTATGGTTTATCGCCTTGGCACACAATCACTCCCACACTTCACTAATATTTTATATCATTTTGAACACCACACATTCAATTTCATGACATTCCCTACCCATTCAACATTACAAAGTTACATTTCATACTCCTCTTTTGTGCAACATAAATAAATAAAATGTATCTCTATAAAATTCTACATCATTTCGTAGACATAAAAAAGCAAGTATCACATTGCTGGAAGAGCAAAATATCTCAAGTACTGCTTTGGTTCTTCTGTGACTATGCTCAGCTCTACAGCTCCATAAATAATGAAATAACTGAGTTGCAAAGTATAAGCGGCAAATAAAACAAATAAAGGAAATACTGTATCTGTAACGAAACTGAGTTTTTGTTTCTTTCTGCTCTGCTGCTAGCGCTAGTATGAGAAATTTGAGTATAGTGTATTCTTAAACATTAAAGACTTCAAAAAAGAAGCATCAATTCATTATATCACAACCTTTTATCAACACATAAATTTGTACATATAAATTGCTTCGATCAGTTTAAACCAATTTCTTTTAATGATAACATTGCAACCGCCACCGTATATGATACCTTATAAATCTTGAAATTTCTGAAGTCGCTGCAGAGATCATGCAAAACAACAGTAAGAATAGTAAGATGACTAGTGCAAGCTCTGAATGACCCGATTCTGTTTCAGTTTTTCCTGACGTTCAGCCAGCTGTTTCTCCACCTTCTCAGGTAGACTTGGGTTTGTGAAATACCCTGAAAGAGAAAATTATATTCCAATAAAATTATGTTGCAATGTAAACGTTTTTCACTAGAACTTGAATTTTCCAAGTGCATTTAATAATCTGTGGACAATGTTACACTGGAAGTAGAATAAGTAACAGAAGATTATATTTACCAAATTGTACAACCAGTGAAAAGAAATTAAATGTTGCTGGTAAAAACTTTGGCACCATGATGAACATAGTGAAGAATAAGACTGCTAAGATGAAAAACTTGACACAACAATACCAATAAGGATTAAAGTACAGAAAGAACATACTTTTCTGTCACTAAATACATGGAATTGTCTTGTGACTAAAAGTTTAACAAATCTGAAGAATCCAGCCCGATTTATAGAGAACTCAATTTTTACAGGCTACATGACATTCAATTTGAGGGTGGTTGGCGTGTGCTCTGATGTGGTTTGTTCCTTCTGTACTATCAAATATCTATCATCCTTTCATCCTCCTTCTTTTCTTTGTTTGCTATTTTCTATTTACACTAAGTTACACCTCTAATCTTCAGTGCTTAGATGACCTATTTTTGTAATGTACCTTCAGTAAAACTCTAAGCACTAAAACCTAAGGGGAAAGGGGTGCCGCAGGTTAGTGGATTGGCTGGAGAGAAACAATGTCTCTCACTGACGTTTGAAAGAAGTGTATTTTAACTAACAAACAAAGATTGGAGCCCAGTTTTACTGTTACAAGGTGCAGGCATGTTTTTCTGTTGGATTTACTCCATGGACAGAAATAGGGTTCCACAGTCATGTCAGTGATGACATCTGGTTACTCTTTCTCTCTGTCTCTCACCAGCTGTGTTTGAGAGGGAAATGAGTGATGGTACTACGGAATCTTACAAGGCGTCAATAATGCATACTAGCAACAACTGAAATAAGTGCAAAGCAGTGTTCCCTTCCATCTACATTCTCAATTTGATGTATCCTACTTGAAATAAAAAAAGAAAACTTTACAGCTGGCGAAACTCCCACATTTTCATTTTCAGTGACAGGTTTTGGTTTCTTTTTTAAAAAGGAATTAAAGGAAGCGGTGTAAACAAACAAAATATAAAAATTATAAGGAAATAAGACGCACCTGCAGCAAATTCTCTGACACTTTCCGGCCTTTGTGTGAGGACATCACTGAAAAAACCCATAGATAAAATCCATATATCTTAAAAGATCTAAGAACAGGAAGCAAATGGATATATGAGATATAATTTTCATCTTACAAATGTTAGATATTTTTAATTCAAGAGAGACAGAGGTCAAGATAATGCTTGATCTGTACAGTGATTCAACACTGGATGGTTCATCAGAATCTGCCTCTTTCACTATGGTTTTGGGTATAGGCCAACAAGAAGTGCTCTCCACCTGTCTCTGATCTGGGCGATCTTCTTTACCTCCAGTCAGCGCAGCCCCATATTTCTATGCCTGGCATCTGCATCCAGATCTCATTTTCAGGTGGATCTCCACCTTCCTCTCTTCTTCCTCCCCTGGGGATTTCATCTTAGGCCTTGTCTAGTCACATTATCGACTAGCTTCCTAAGCGTGTCCCCAATCCATTGCCACCTTCTTTTCTTGATCTGCCTGTCAATTAGTTATTTGGTTCTCCTCCATAATACTACATTTCTGATGGTGTCCAGCCTGTGGATTTTCATGATCTTCCTTATGCAATCATATGAGTGAGGCCACGGGGTAAAATCGCTCGTCAAAATAATAAAATCTGAGAAATCTGCATTTTTTTTACCAGTTTGGGCATTTTTTTCGAATTTCGTTTTTTTTTTCAAGAACGCTTTTATGTGTGGAATTTATGGAAAAACGTTGATTAAAGCACAAAAATCGTAAATTTCCAAGGACTCTTAAGCTACGGAAGTCACCAAACTTTGGCAGCTATTTTCTCGCTCATTTTACTTCTGAAACCAGGTGACCCCACCTTCTTCTATCGCAAATAACTCAATTTCTATTTAAGATAAATGGATATTATTTTCACTGAAGAAAGCAAGACAAATGAATAATCTTTAAGATGATACCAATAACTCCATATACCCAAAAATTGACGAGCACCTGATTCCACTGCGTCGTGACACATGAAGGACATATGATTTGTTTACAAGCCGCCAGATGTGCACACTATGCACGGCATCAACTCAGAAACTGTGCAGCGATAATCACCCTTTCTCCTACACACTCCTGCCAGCAAGTTCTTGTCGCCAATCGGCTCCATCCCCACCCTTGCCTTTTAGATTTCAGGCAGTATGCATTTGACAAGTAGCCTATGATTCAGCAGAGCATCTAGTAACTACAGAACAATTTCTCTTGGTGTTGGGCAGTCAGACCTACAGTCTAGCATGCACATAGCAAAAAACACACATTGTGAACAGATTTTGAGGTCTCAAATGTTTTCTTATATGCTTGTACAGTGTAACATGGATAGCTCGAATTTGTCAGGACCGGCCTTGGTAGTTCGAGGGATCCATAGTTCAAGGGATATCTTACAAAGATATAACCTACCCGTGTTATACTGTACTATGTATTCAAAACATGCGCATTGTGTAAACGATTTTTACATAGTGAAAGAAAATTGGCATCAACGATGGTAGTTTTAATTAAAAGGACCATGGATTTCATTTACCAAAGTAGCCGAGATAGAGAGAGCAAGAGAGAACAAGACAGGGAAAGAGAGAGAGAGAGAGAGAGAGAGAGAGAGAGAGAGAGAGAGACAGACAGACAGACAGACAGACAGACAGACAGACAGACAGACAGAGATAGATTGAGAGAGAGATACAGAGAGAGAGAAATAGATAGATTGAGAGAGAGAGAAAACCACAGAGAGAACAAGAGAGAGAGAGAGAAAGAGAGAGAGAGAGAGGAAAGGAGAAAGTGGGCATGGTATGAGTGTAGGCCAATGAAATTTTTAAAAGCCAAGGGCAATAGTAGGCCTATAGGTCGAGGAGGTATTTATTGCATATATCACATAAGAGTTCAGCAAAAGTTCTAGTCTGCACATTTCACTTGCATGTAAGCAGTCTGCGGTCATGTGAAGGCACTATATATCTAGTACTGTCACCATGTGTATAAGCACGCTTCCTCATCAACAGAGATTACACATTAAACGGCAGCTTGCCCATGTTTGGCAAAGTTAGGTTGCCGTGAAGTTATAATAGAGGGTGCACCATTGGCAGAGCATAAGAAGCATAAAGGTTACGCCATCACAGAAAAATGGCTGATCTCAGCAAAGGTGAAAAAACAAAACAAAACAATGTCAAAAACCAAAATCTGCAAAATGTGGCACAGGGGACATCATTCATGTAAAACTTTGACCCATTTGTCCAACTTTGTTTCCCTTGATAAAGTCTGGGGTGAAATTTGTTAGCCAATTAAGGCTGAATACTCCATTATACCGCCAGCCCCGTTATATCATCAACTTCATGCCTGCCCCAAAGTAGACTGTAATTTACAGGGTTCGACTATTGTAAACTGTTCCTTTCCTCTGTAATCTTATAATATTGTTATATCTCCAAAGACAAAACATCTCAAGTTCATCACATGTCATGTCACATGAGAAAGATGTTCACAGTTAGTTAAAAAGGCTGTAAAAAGAGATGTAGAGTTTATTTTAAATTCTCTGCTTCAGACTGCTTTCAAGACGTTTTCTTTTGTACACAAATTATTACATTTACCAGCCTTCACTTAAAACTTTCCACCAACTTCCATCCTTAAGAATAAAAATAATAAAATTTGTTTGCAAGTGAAAACACTACCCACAAGTAGAAATCACAAGCATGAAAGAACTTACCCAAGAAAACCTGCAATAAGGCTCTCTACCTCAGGATGATCTCTCAGGTACCGTTCATTACCCATCCGAGTGCTTATCTGAAAAGTATAAATATAGTATAAAAGATAATAAACTGTTATTGGCCTTCAGCCAAATCAACCAACAAGAAGTGTATGCTCATTAGTTAAACTTTTCTTATATTTATTAAATGGCTATAGAATTGACACAGAAACAAAATCCTCGTTCATTGAAACATCCAAAAACCGCAGTCAAATTCATTGCATAACATACTTTCCACTTTGAATCCTTCCATCAAATTAGATTTCAGCAAAGAAAAAAGTGAACAAATCTTCTACCTGAAACACAATTCACTAGATTTTACATTTGCAGACAGTGGCTTCAAAATAATGTCTCACGGTGTTGAAAAATTATATCCATAATCCATACTACAGTCGAGCACGGATATATCTCAAATACATTGTGGACTAATTTGAGTAAACCGCAATTTGCAAAAAATAAGACATACAAGGAAAGTCAGGGTAGTAAATGTGATAAAAAAAGTTGGAAAACAAATCACTGTCAACATAAAAAGTACCTGGTTGTACCTGGTTTGATAACCAGATAAAAGGATGGATAGTGGGTGCACCCTCTTTGGTGTTTAACTTTTAATCAAGAGAAAAAGGTTTGAAAGAGAGTGATACTGATGAGCTTTAAAACTACTAAAAAATTATAAAAGTCAAATATTCTTTTTTTTACTGCTCTTACATCCGATCACGATCATGACGATGTAATCAGCACACCAACCACTCCTCTCGGGTAATCACTCTCCAATCCACATCTTCATGTTTTAACAACCGTACACACACACACACACACATACATACACACACACACATATTCACACAAACCCATAAGCATAATTCACAAACAATACAGCTCAGTGCATCTCCACAGTGTCTTTCTTCCATTACACACTACCATCCAGCATCAACCCTCACATGACTAAGTGAAGTTTTAGCACTATGTAGGCAACATGTCATGATGCATCTTTTGAATTTGAGACAACTCTGAGGAAAAATTTTGATCGCACTATTTGAGAAAACCTGCTCGACATATATATCCATGTGAGAGTTCAAGAAAACAAAATGTGGCCAATACAAAGAAAACAGGCCTCTATAGCAGTTCAGTCGGGGAATGGCATATCGTTCAAGCAATTCCGGTGAATTCAAATTTCTAGTGCAGTTTATCTGAGCTGGAAATTGTTTATTGTAAATATGTGAGGCAGCGTTGTGAAATCAGGTGCTCGTCAAAATCATGAAATTGAAGAAACTGGCATTTTTCGGCTGGTTTGGCAATATTTATTGAATTTTTGTTTTTTGGCTTCACACCTTGAATGTTTATTTAAAAATAAATTTTAGTGTGGATTTTATAAAACGTAGATTAAAGGCACATAAAATGCAAATTTGCGGCCTTCAAGGACTCTCAAGCTTTGAAAGTCACCAAATTTTGGCAGCCATTTTCTCACTAGTTTTACCTCTAAAACAAGGCTTCCTTCAATCTGAAATATTTTTACTTCTTTTCAAGATGGATGGGAAATTCTTTTATTAAAATCAAGATAAATGAACAGGCTTTAAGATGATACCAATAACTCCATATGCCAAAAAATTAACGAGCGCCTGATTCCACTGCATCGCGACACATATTGAATACTTGACAACTTAAAACTGGAATCCAATTGGTCCCCCCCCCCCCTCCCTCCCAAAAAAAATTTAAGGCAGAGAAATACCGAAAGCAAACATCAAGGACACTATAACAAAAAAAACTAGCTGAGCCCCCTTTGGATGAAAGGAATGATCGGTACATTAACATCAACTAAAAGTCATTGGCCTACTACATTTACACTCTTCTGGAATGGAGCAATAAATCTCGAGAGAAAAGCGACACAAGTGTTTCCAAGTAGCGAAATTAATATAACAGATGTACAAATTTATTCTCTATTCCACTTTCGTGGTTGTACACTCCAGAATTTCAAAGGTATGGAACCAGTGTGTGCCGATATTGAACGGAAACCTCACTTGTTTATAATGGCGGCTTAGAAGACGGACTTTCCCAAGATTCTGTGCGGACGAAACAAAGCATTTTGGAAAAATCTGGGAAAGCAGTTTGCGTGGAATTTTTAAAGTTAAGTCCTAGCCATGTGGATGCTATGGACGCCTGCAAAGTTTCAAAGGTGTGGGTTAGGTAATAAGAGAGGAGTTTGTGCACAAAGCCTCCCAAGTCCACTTTTCTCTATATATATATATAAAAAGTCCACACCTTCTCAAGCACTGCATGTTTATAACAAAATTATACAATCTAGTTCTCCCTCCAGGGAAGGACTTCTGTAATGAGCGACCACCCCCAACAAACACAATAAAGAAGAAGCCTAACCCTAACCCTGGCCCTTACCCTACCCCTGCCCTTACTCCTACCCCAAACCCTAAACGCCTTAACTCTAGCCTTAACCATAACCTTAAACCCTCTATACACTTTATTTCATAGTGGTCACTCGTTACGAATTCCTCCCCGATCTAGCCTACCTGTTAATAACAGACAGTTAAGAACAAAATTATTTTTTTAAACTTCAGACTGTTCACGCAACAGTTGCGTGACCCCAGCTGCCATGCTCGTGACGATTCTCACAAGCCCTGCAAGATCAACTTTGGAATTTTTTGGGGGGCTATACAAATCACGCACGATCGCGTGAATCTTCTCATGCCCTTGTTTGGCCAATCCTGAGCTACTTAGAGTAAGTTTCGTATCTCTGGGGCCGATAGTTTTTAGGTCATTCAAAGTGAAGGACAGTCATCCCAACTAGGGTTGAACTGACAGGAACTCGCGCTATGTTTTTATATATACACAGCTGATAGTAATTTGACAGTCGCGTCAAAGTTAAGGTCGAAGACATCGCATGAATAAGCATCACATAATTTCGCTGCTTTCGATACTTCTGTTCGTTTTACTTGTTCTAGTGTCTCAGAATATGATGAGTCTGATAGTTAGGACCCTGGATGTACCCAAATACGGCCCGAGTCGTAGCTTTAGGGCTAGATCTAGCAACTAGTACTGGTGTTATGGTTCGCGCAACGAAATTACAATGTCGTGCCCTACATCTGTCTCACGTAATTCAGTGCATGGGTCTGAATCAACGCACAGCCCAGCTTTTCTATTTTCACCAAACACTCATACATGCATACAAATAAAAACAGAACACTTTGAACTTTTATTTTTTTTGTTGTAGTGGATTTCCTTCTCCCTGTCACGTCTCTGGAAATTTTTCGGAAATTCAAATTCCTGCAAATTTTTTAAAAATAAGAGGGCCAACAAATTAAAGTATTAGACTTAGACAACTTTAGTTTTGTAGCCTAAATTATGATTAAAAAGCTTTTAAAATGTAACTTTATTACATGTCAAAAAGTAATTACAATAGTGAGGAAATTCTGAGAGTTCTTTTGGTTTATTGAAATACTCCCAAAAACGCAAGTCTTCAACACTTGTGACTGGTGAAAGGGCCCACAGATAGAATCTAGTCAGCGAGTTATAATATTAAAAAATAGAGTAATATGGAAAGGAAAGTGCCTGCCTACTAGATCTAGATCTAGATCTATCTTTTCTTTTGTCAGACAAAATACTTTCACCTTCATCTACGGAAATTTGAGAAAACCACAGCTAAGGGGTCTCAAAATTACTTTCCAGATTCAAGACAGATGGCTGGAAGTGGGGAGATATAGATCTAGATAGACATCAAGATTCATTACTATTATTTTCGGCCACCTCTATTCTCACCCGGAGTAAGAATAGTGCAGGCGAGCCTTGTGGCTATTCTCACCCAGTGCGAGTTCACCAAATTTTGCGTTCACCCTAAACCACAGAATTCTACACTGTGATAACAGAAAAATTGTAGAATTCTGTGCCGTGAACAAACGTTCCATTACAACTGTAGCCTACTACAATTTTGTCTGTGGGCAGTGGAGAGAGAGAGAGAAAGAGAGAGAGGAGTAGCGCGAGAATTTCCGGGCAAAACAAAATGGCGACCCGCGCAGTTCGGCTCGATTCGAAAAGTTAAATAGCCGAAGCATCTTTGTAGACAACCAAATTAATTTACTTTTGTGTTTTAACATCATTTTTTAACTTTGTTTTGGTCAATTTGATCGTCGACACCGATAGACAGTATTCAGAAAGAGACATAGAGAGAGAGAAGAGGGGAGGAGTTGATCTTGCGAGAACTTCCGGGCGGGTGAGAATAGCCACTTTCATTGTTTATTTTCTGGGCCAAGAAAGACGTGTATTCTTCATTAAATTAAAATCATGACCACTCCATAAGTCAAACAGAAGATCTGAGACCAGCTGGTGCGATTATATTGGTAAAGCTGGTGGTTCTAGATTTATCTCTAGACAATTTAATTTTAATTTTAACTTCAAGACTCACTCCTTGGCTTTACTTTTGGGTGGGACATGAATTTGAAATGAAGTGAAGACTAGAGAGTGAAGGCGAGGCTGAAGACCGCGTCGGAGGGGGGATGGGGTTCTCACTCACCTTGAATTGATTCAGATCGGCTTGTTGAGCGAGACTAAGGGCACCCAAATCATCTCCTCCACCTAGGTCGTACTTTTCCATCCCATGGGGAGCTCCGTGCTTCGGTTGGTCTGACATCTTGGCAGCCTCTTTCTGTGCGGTGGTATTGACAGCCTTCAATAATTGTATTTCCTTGACGACAAAACTAAAGACATGCTTATGTCCCTTGACGAATATCGGAAGTCAATTTCGTTATTATGAGTGCTAAAAATACTTTCACATAATTCGTTTTTTATGGCTATCGCGTTATATTATGCACACGGGATCTCCGGGAATCTTCGCCTTTATCCGAGAATGCTAGGTATCATGTATGGCTAAAAGACAACAGTGAGAAGAAGTCATGGAGTAGAACTAGTAGGCAGCAGAGAGGCTGCAGAAAGAATCTTGCCCATAACAAAAACAGCAACAACAATAATGATGATAATAATAACAATGATAATAATAATAATAATAATAATAATAATAATAATAATAATAATAATAATAATAATAATAATAATAGTAATAGTAATAATAATAATATTAATAATAATAATAATAATAATAATAATAATAATAATAATAATAATAATAATAATAGCCATAATAATAGTTAAAAAATAGTAATAATATCAATAGTAATAGTGATATAAAGTGATCTAAATTATTAGATTGTGAAGAGTACGGTTACTTTTGTCAATTCAGTGCCTCACGATCTACTCAGGTATTAGATCGATATACCTAAACAGAATTAAACGTTGAGGTGGGCTAAATGTTTGTGTGTAAAACTTTTCACATGAAAACTCACAATGAATACTATCAGTCTAATCCATCTCTGTTAGCCCCTGACATAATGTAAAGTTCTGACTTCGAGCTGTTTCCAAGGAGGTTACAGTTTAAGGTCTTGGCTATTTCTGAGATGAGATTTCTTTGCTCCAACAAATGGCATTACTTTTCCTGTCACCTCACTAATGATAGTGATAGGGGTTTAGAGACCGTAAGGGACTTTGCTGTATTGCTCTCAGTTGACAGTTGAGTGCTATCGTCGTGCTTGACATCAGACCACAGAAACAGAAACTTTTCTGCAGCTTTGAGCTTACTTTTACTTTACTTTTATCCACCACTTATACACTTTGAGCAGACTGATTTATATAAAGGGCCGGCAACTGATCAAAATCTGTTCTCCCGATCTAACAATTTTATCCGTCATGGTCTACCTGTCTCCTTGAGTTATGTCATCATTATTATCTCTGTCAGCTGGCCAGGCAGGGAATCGGAATCATGGGAAACAATCGCAGTAGTCACGCCGTCAGATTGGTTAGAGAGAGAGAGAGAGATGAGAGAGAGAGAGAGGGGGGGGGAGAGAGAGAGAGAGAGAGAGAGAGAGAGAGAGAGAGATGAGAGAGAGAGAGAGAGGGGGGGGGGAGAGAGAGAAGGGGGGGGGGGGAAAAAGGGGGGAGAGAGGGGGGGGAGAGATTATTATGTTGTATTCTTGACTGTATTCGATTGAGCCACCAAGTGCCGACCGGCGCCGGCGGTAGCATAATAAATAAGGTGTTTGAATTCGCCATCGCACGCAGAAGACCTGGGTTCAATCCCCGTGAGGAGAGGATTTTAATCGAGTATCCCCATCGCCTTCTAGGAGGTTGTTGTGTTGGCCCTGGCAGGCAGGATCGGAGGCCGCCTCCTACATGATCAAATTGGAAGCCGATCTAAATTGTGTCGGTGAACGATGGGAGCATAAAACATTACAAAGTACAACATAGTACGCCACTTGTTCTTGGCAGTGTCCAGACACGCGACCTCTTTCAAAACTCATATCTGGCCCGTTGGTAGAACGACTATCCTGTATTATATTGGCGGTCACGTTCTTTTCAAATAATTGTTCCACAATGTCAAACAACTTTTTACCTGATAAAATATAATCGCCACTTAACTTTGTGTCTCTCAATGGGCAATCAAATATGAAACAAGTTATAAATTATATACAAAAGATTCTATTTTTACTCTTGTGCCGGTGTATATATTAACACACCAGTGTTTAGAGAGATCCTCATCGTGAGATGCGATGGGTTAAATTCCCAATGATAAAACCACAGAAGTGTCTGGTTATGACCTCTGATTAACCAATAATGCCCTCCCGTCAAAGTGGTGGCTATGATAATCGTCATTCTTCTGATCTTAGCAAAGAGCAGACTGCATTGTACCTTGGTTTCAATACACTTGACGTACACATTTACCCTATTTAATCAGAATATGTTTAAAGTGTATTTCTGTACATTGAAGAGGCGGGAACCTATCCACTGTAAAAATGCTCGCTGGGGCTGATTTTGATGGCTGGTTTGGTTTGAAAAGAATTGAATATCAATAAGTTAACAACATTTGAGTGCGGACAACGAACAAAATCTGTGTAGCCTATGACCTCATATGACATCGTTATCAACAGGTCGGTAAATGCCATGTGCCATTCACAGCGCATGTTTTTATTAACAGTTTAAGCTATTTCGTCAGCATTTAGCGATTCATGGATAATTTATTTGAACTCAGTGCACGTCTTTATTTTGAGAATACTGAATAGCTTTATGGCGAAAACGCTTCTGATTTGCTTGATTTTAAAAATCAAACCGAGCAGGCCTATTGAATAGCTCACTTTTCTAAATGCTGATGTATCAGACCTCGAGTGCAAAACCAAGAAATGCCCGCAGGTATTTTTATGTTCCCTTTCCCGTGCTGTATCAATTTTTCTGTAAGTTGGAGACAATTTTTCTCATTCTGCGCTGTGCGAGTTCGCGTAGTGTAGCTGTGGAATTCCATTGTGTGCTCACTGGTACTTTAAAATTGTTTTTTTTTTTTTTTTAAAGAAAGGAGCATGGCTAGGTGGCTAAGGAGACCGGAGTTAAGTGGAAAATATCTACTAGATCTATGCTTGGTAAATATGAGGATGCGGAATAGAAAATAAGTAGATTGAAAATCTATATAATTGAGTAAATTTCGGTTTAACTCGATCTTCGAAGACAGGCGACACTTAACCAAACAAGAACTGACAAGTATTTTCTCTCACTGCCGTTAATTTTACCTCACGTATAGTAAACCATTAAAAAGGCATGTTGAGTATTTGGCTTACATTTTAAATTGTGAATCAGTACACTTCCCATCTCTTGAGCTGTTCCCTTCTTCTGTTACATGAATCATACCATGAAAGATTATTAGCATCGATATAAAATAATTCTTTTCAAATAGCAGCGGTGTCTTCACAATTCGATGACTTTACCAGAGGTCGCTGTATCCCTACATCCTAACTATACACGGCTCTACAGTCAGATGCTATCTCTTCAAATAACTGTATAACCCCAGGGATTCTTGTGTTTTAGATCCTTAGGCTCACTAACGTGATTGTGATGTTGTTGCTTCGGTTTCTCTTACAGTGAGTGTGTTCATGCATCTATCTGACAACAAATGGGATGCCTAGGCTATCCACCGTAAACAGCGTCCAAAGGACTTTCACGAAACCGCAAAATCATTTCCTGTTTAAATTTTACTAACCAACAGTAAAACAGTTAGGATTTTAATGTCTTGTGCACCTGTATAGTCTCTCGAAAACAAAATAATAAAGATTTACCTCACTGAAGAAAAATGGAAAACATCACCAACGCCTACCATTTCATAAGTGATCTTGAGAAATCCACAACGATCTTGATAAACTGGCTGATCATTGCCAATTTGATATGCGGATTTGGAATCGTTACCAACATTATCAACATCGTCGTCTTCCTGAAGATGGACCTCAAAGACACCGTCAATATCTCACTATTTGCTCTAGCAATAGCTGACCTTGCTAGTCTAGTTCTCCTTATAGGAGTCGTTTTGTGCCATAACCCGTTGCTGTTGTCTTTGGATCAGAACATTCAGTTCAAGGAGGTCGAGTATTTAGCTTTCGGCTGGCCCAGACTATGCTTCACCCGAACGACAAGTTGGATCACCGCTTTTATCGCTTGCGAGCGTTGCCTCTGCATCATTCGCCCTCTTACAGTCAAGACTATCGTAACTCCTCGAAGAACCCTTATCGCATTAGCTGTGATCTACTTCATCATGGCTGCCAGTGTGACCCCAACGTACTACAGCACTTCCTTGGGGTGGCGTTTTGACCCTACTGGAAACAGGACTGTGTACGGTTTAAATTTTCGTGACAATAGACAAGCCATCGATGGAATTTTCTTTATCCTTGGCGTTGTTATTACCACCGGGGCATTTCTTTGCACGGCTGTGTGCACTCTAGTTCTAATCGTGAGACTTAATGAAAGTAGCAAGTGGGCTGAAACATTTACAGTAAAATCAAGATTGTCTGAAGGTGTTAAAAATTCGAAATCGAACTCGAGGATGATCAAGTCGAGGCAGACGTGTCGAATGGTTTGCGTGATTTCAATGGCGTTTATCGTATGCTACGCACCTACGAATATTCTACAGCTTGTTATGGCCACCGTGGAAGAGTTCAACAAAGGAGGCAAATATGAAAACCTCAATTTAGTCTGCTGGTCCATCAGCTACGTACTTGAGGCTTTCAATTCTTCGATCAATATTTTCATGTACTATATCATGAGCTCAAAGTATAGAAAAGCTCTGAAACACATTTTCGCCTGCTCAGAAGCATGCAAGACAACGACATTATAGTAATATTACAATGTATTAGGATTTCCTGTTGATCATTAAGTAGGCTAAACCTTGAGTGTTGGCCTTTAAGTGGCGTTATTTACCCTCTCAGTTAGATGAGTAGATTCCTGAAGTGATGTGAATACAAGAAAATGGTTCCAGAACTTACTCTTCAAATACTTTCATGACCATGATATGGGGAGAAAATATCAGTGGTATATATCGCAAGTGATACTAAGTGACGTTGTGTTATCAAGAAAAAAAAAACCCCGCAAAACAAAACAAACATTAATAGAAAGAACTTTTTTTTAAAAATCAACCTTTTGATCATCCTTGTGCAATTAATATTTGTATTGCAATAGCGTGCATGCCTACATTTAAAAAAATCAATTGCAGACATTTTTGGGGTAAAAACCTTTTGAGTATTTGAAACTGGTCATGTTCTCAAATTGTAGATGTCTTACATCCGTATCAACTAGGAGGCAGGTTGGACCCTCGTCAGGACTAACCAGGACTGTGAGGGATACAACTTTCTAGCAGACTGACGGGCGAAC